GGGTCGGATTTCCTGGCAGTATGCAAGATTAAGAGCAGAGAGTTAAATTAAGAGACTGTGGTCATGTTTCCATTTAACAGAGATGCAAATTTGCACTTTGTTCACATATCAAGTTTATACTGTCTGATTTACAAGTGTGCACTTTGTGTTTGATGTGACAGGAAAAAATAAAATACATGAGTATTTTGAAACACAGTTGAACCTCTTTCATTAATGTAAAAACAGATGGAAACGAAATTAATCGATTTAGAACTGTATGAATCAAAATCGAATCGATTCAGGACTTAGGCGAAAATACCCAGCCCTATTACTTATTATATATTCTTATGGTGGATTGAACCAGACAGTTTTCACTTTGCACCCGCTTTGTGTACCTCTGTCTGAACCTTAACCATCATATGACTATTATTATAATTTTTGCATGATGAAACTCAAGGAAATTCTTGGTTTAAATTGTGGCCTTGAAATATATTCAAAGGTGTGGACATCACCATATGAACTTAAACATGTAGTTTTAACTGGAGCTAACTGATGATCCTTGCTTTTTTCCAGGTACTCTCCTCGTTGAGTTTCAGAGGAGGAATGAGGGGTAAAGAATTAATGAAGAGACGACCAAAATAAAATGTGAAAAAAATTGTTTCCAAAAAGTACCTACAGTCAAAAGAAGGGGGGATTATTAATTGAGAATTAAGTTCTAAGATGTAAGATATTTCTCTTTTTAAAACAACCATCTCTTCTTATTAGAGGAACAAACAAAACTAGGTCACTTCTGGGGACACATTTAGAGCTGGAAATAGCAGTAAGGACATGACCAAATTAATAAACAGCCTTGTTTTGATGTGTGAAACCTTTCTTTTTGTTTTTTTAGATGGAATATTTTTATTTTCATGTAGAAGTTTCAGTGTAATGGTTACAGATGAGTTAATGAATATAACATATATTTTAACACTGATCGTAGGGTAGGGTACATGTTTAACATTTTAAAAAGTCTGGCATTTTAAGCCATATCTTGTTGATACAACACACTGTCATCTTAAATAAAGCTATGTTTGCTGTACTAAACTAAGCTTTGTGAATCTCTTTACGCTATAGTAATGTAATTTTATATATAGCGATGTTCCAGGCATAATTTTTCATAGCACATGTATATAACAAGCAAAGTATGCAAGATTAAGAGCAGAGAGTTAAATTAAGAGACTGTGGTCATGTTTCCATTTAACAGAGATGCAATTTTTAGTAGAACTTTTAAAAGTTAAAAAAACAAACAATGAAATTCAAATTAACAGTGTGTCCACTTGGTATGAAGCAAATTAGCCAAGTGATGCAAAGCATAATGTCATTGCACATCATCATCCATATTAGGTCGTCACGCAAACAAACAGGAAGAATAGGCTGTAATCTAGCACAGAACACAAAGCAGTATTAGTTAAAAGTCTTTTGAATGTGTTGCTATTGGGAAATTTGTTCTAACGTTAACATGTCAGCTAGTAAAGGCAATGTTTTTTTTCAGCCATGTTTAACACACATAATAGGCACATGCGGGAAGATGACGACAGCGGAAACAGCTAATCAGTCATGTGAGATAAAAGTTTGCTACGGTAGAGCTGATCTATAAAAAAATTATTTCCATCTCCCGTTTAGTGCATTATCCCTTTTTCGCAAAAGCAAAAAAGCACCTGATGATAGCTTGCTGAAAACACAGAAGAGCTCGGCAATTGCAACCGTGAAACTTTTGTTATTGTACTCTTCAGCTAAATAAAAAAGATGCAGAACACAGCTATGCTACACCTATTGACAGTAGTTTAGTTGTAAATAAAAAAAGAAAGGGGATGGTGGATTTTTTTTAAGCATACATAGCCTAATTAATATAGTCTAATAACCTAAAGCAATATGCATTGTATGGTTGTTACATGTCAGCGACGCCGGTCATTAATGTAAGTCCGTAAAAGAGGAACTGAGTCCACACAGAAAAGTGATTTTTTAGCAGCTTCTGCAGAAGGAGAGAGCTACACCCAACTCTCTAACGGACTTCCTCTGCAGAGCCTTTTTATTAGCAGTTCATAACCAGTGTTGGGTAAGTTACTTTAAAAATGTAATCCGTTATGTCGTGGATGTTCTCTTCCCAACGACTTAAAAATTAAAGCTAAATTTTATAAAAATTAAAAATTCTTAAAAAGCAGAAAAGTCTTTAACCAAAAATCTAAAAACAGGCAGAAGTCACGGTCTTCCAGGTCCAGAGTGTTTTATTGAAAAACACAGAACATACACACTGAGGTGATCTCCGGAGAACATCTGACTAGACAGTGAAACAGCTTCTCTTTTATACATTTTGGGCTGTTGGGGGCTCCTCCCCCAAGCCCCTCCTTCCTTTTCCCATTTTTGGATGCATTTTCTTCGGTTAAGTCTAATTATTTTTATTCTACCGGGGGAAAGCTCTTTTCAAAACATATTTTTTATATATTTAATCAAACACCCTTTATTACAAGTCATGATTATATTTCTTATAAGTCATAATAACATATGTTGCTATTAAAATAAAAACACATTATATTTCAGTCATTATTATTTCAGAGCAAAGTTTTCATTCAGTGATTCATGATTATAACATTTCACATTAAACTTGGTTGGCATAATCTGGGCACTTAAAACTCCAGTGATTCTACTTTTCTAAGTATAGGTCTCATGCGCAGGCCTTATTTGGGCTCAACTGTCTTCTTGTAGGACAAATGCACTTTCTTAACTTAGCCTAATAGCTGAAGCCACATTTAGAATAACTGTCTCACTCTGATCTAAAGTTGTACTTAGAGCAGCATACTGGACCCTCTGTCTCCTCTTTGCAGCATACCAAACCTTTTTTGGACCTTTAAAGCAAGACCTTCATTCAGTGTGTAAGACATGTATATAATTTAATCACTAATGCACACTAATTCACTACATAAGACATGCATATATTTTAATCACTAATACACACTAATTCACTACAGTTACAGTTACAAGTTACCTTGTTTAAAATGTAATTGTAGTGTAACTTTTTCGATTACTTTTAAAAAGTAATGTAACTAATTACTTTTTATTACTTTTTGATTACTTTAAGGATTTAATGAGTATTGACCCATGTTCAACATTTAATTTTTGAGAACTGAATGTGAACCTTAAAAAAGCACTAAGCTGAGAGGGAACTGCTGACAGGCAATCACAGGATGTCCACAAGAAGAGATGCCAGCACCAGGTGTGTAAGATTTTCTCAGACTCCTCTCATCGGGCCATACTCTTTTCT